GCTGATTTCACAAAATAAATATCCAAGAATTAGATGCTGCCCAAGAAGTAGAAGATTATTTCTTCTTATCATTTTTTAGTCATTTGAGCTTCCTTAATTGTCTGACTTCCATCATAATTAGTGAATAAATTGTTAAATTATATTAAATTATATTTCTAATAAACCCTAGTGCTACTGGCTAATGTAGAGAAGCCTATTCGCTTGTGATGTATACTAATTTGATGGTCCTCACCAACCATTAAATAATCTCAAAAAAAATGTACGATTTGCAATTTGACATAAGAGTTTCTTTTAGGTTTTTCACAGGCCACTTGCCCGTTTATTGATTATCAAGGGTAAATTTTAATTTTCATAAAAAATAATATGTCACAAAAGAATATGCATTATTTACTTAATAATATTAGAATGCAAATATAAATTTGCTGTATGTGTTTTAATAATACAAATTTGTGATGCTTTCTAGTGAATGCAACATACATTGTCTTATAAGATATGGTTTGTGATAAATAATTCCTCCCTCTCAATATGTTTGTCTCATTTCATGGTTCCAACCTTTTAAAAATAGTAGATTGATAGTGATTTTAGTTGATTTATTTCCAAAGTTACCCCAAAAATTCAAATTTGAATTTAGTATGAAATGTAGATAAAGGTGGGGATAATATTGAAAAAAGAGATCAAAAGTAACTTTGACATTAGTAAGATGACAAACATCTTGGGACATCCCAAATGGAAAGTGTGGCACTTTTAATGGGACAGAGTAAGTAATTAATAATACTTGGGCCCTGTTTGATAACGCAATTAGTACTTAAACTTAATGTATTTAGATATTAATATATTTAGACGTGTTTGATAACAAAAAATTTAACATCTGCACTAATTAAGTGCTACTAAATTTTTTAGAAAAAATTTGTTCACAAAAATAAGTGATAAGTTATTCACTTATCACTAAATGTGATATACACTCAAATGTATTTGATTTAATTTTTATCAACTCAATAATTTAATAGATTCAAATTTCAAATTTCAGTTTTATCAAACGCACCCTTAGTTTTGTAATTTTTCTTTCACTAGAGAAGGTTCGTACCCCTGTCCTCATTGTATTTTATTTTATTTTAATTTAAAAAACTGGGATTGGCATTCCTCCTCCTCTTCCTCTAAGGTTTATATGTATATATGTACATATTAAAAATATATGAATTTATTCTAGCTTTATTAAGTCAAGGAAATTAGTTCGACCTTGATTTGATTACTTAAACTAAATTTAGCTAGGATTTTGCCCGTACCTTAGCAAGGTCTTTTTTTTTTATTCTGAATTTATACATATATGAATAATTCAAATATAAAAATTAACAATAGTTCTACATGGTCATTTATATTAATTTCAAAAAATTAATGTATTTTAAATGTTCAACTATATACTAATTTTTAAAAATTTGTTCACGTACTTTCACTATAATATGATAGTATCTATCAAATAATGTACCACATACCAAAAACTTGGTAGATATTTTTTTTATAAATATTCTTTTAGGTAATCTAAACTTTTATAATTATCATAAACCTAGACTATCTATTCATATTTAATTAAGTAGAAAAACATCCATCAATTCATCATAAATATTAAATTTTCAATAAAATTGGTAAATCTACTGATATAATAGTTAATTCTCTTTTTTACACTAAGTTAATTTAAAATGAAGAGAAGAAATGATGAATAATTTGAATACTAATAAATGATATGGTTGTGAAATGAAGTAATTTATGGGATATGTAAGATTTCAATGATTGTGATTTAAAAAGGTTTTACTATACTTCTAAGTAATAATTTGGTAGAAAGCAAGAATCATTAAGATAAGATTAGTTATTTTTTAAATTTATTTTAAAATTAAAGATAATTTCTAAACATATAATATAATCATTGTAATATATTGATAGAAAGCACATTAAGATAAAATTAGTTGCTTTCTAAAGTTATTTTAAAATTAGAGATAATTTTTAATCACATGATATAAACCAAATAGGATTCAGTATGAATAAAACCCGAATGACCCATAACCTGTTAATTCTTTTCAATTAGACATGTCACATAGGAGTGAGAAACACTATGATTAAGATAGCTATTTTCATATATATATATATATATACATATTTCTTATTTTAGTTCAAGCTGAAGTTTGTTAATCTTGAATTCAAGCTAACCCCTTAGTTCGAACTTGATTTGATAACTTAAACTAAATTTGATTTCTTATTTTAGTTTGAGCTCGAGTTTGTTAAATTTTGAATTCAAATTATCCCCTAATTTAGGAACTGTAGTTTGAACTTGAATTGATAACTTAAACTAAAATTGATTTCTTATTTTAGTTCAAGCTCAAGTTTGTTAAATTTTTAATTCAAATTAACCCCTAATTTTGGAACTATTTCTTAATGGTTTGAATTGTTTACAATCCTGGGTCAAGAATAGAAGGGGTTGCTCAATTACCTTAGGTTTTATTTTGCCTTATCTTTTTAATTATTTTGTCATAGTGTAAATGGCTCGGTACCTCTTGCTTATACTTCCTCCTGTCTAAGAGTGGCAATATATATGTATATATATATATATATAAATTTATAGATGTACATATATATATGCACACAATATAATAATTTAGTTATAATCCAATTCTCTTTATATTTAATACTATAATCACTAACATAATTGTAAACATACAATTGTGACTTGGTCCTATTACATCTCAATCAGATGTTTTAATGCCATTTTCATAGTATTGATAGGTTACTAATTTTCTTTAGTTATTAATATTTGCAACTTTTTGAATAGTTTAAAGTTGAGCACTTGAGCATATAATTCTGCCATTCTAAACTAAAATACATTCATTTAACTAAAATACATTCTAAACTTAATTATGCAATTGTGCCATAAAGGATAAAGATAGCCCAAAAACGAAAATGCTGAAAATTTGATTACGCAATTTTAATTCAGAAGTTTAAGTACATAGTGCAACATCTCAACCCTAACCTATTCCATTTTTATTTTAAGGCTTCTTCTTCCCCCAAGTTCATGATTAGGTCCAGTTCTGATTTAGATATGCTGCCATCATTTTATTTTGTTGGTTACTGTTTTGAGATTGAATATTTAGTTTCGGTAGTTGGGTGTATGGAATCATAGTCTATTCAGAATCCTAGTACAAGTTGGGCTTTGGAAGTACTTCTGCCTCTAAATAATTTGGCGTATGTACAAGTTGCGGCATTCATCTTCTATTTGTCATCTTTTCTCAATTTTCTGTTCTTGTGTGGGTTCAATTCGTTGTCTAAAACACCATGGAACAATCAAGATACTTGCCTGAAGGCATCATCCATCGTATATTACGTTTTCTCGGTGCCACCGACCAAGCCCGAGTTTGTGTTCTATCTAAAGACTGGCTCCACGCATGGCAGACGTACCCTGCCCCGACGTTTTCCGATCAGCCATTAAGATGTCTGTTTCAACAAGCACTTGGAAGGGGCGATGAGGAGTGCGAGAAATACTGCAGACAGGGTAGATTAAAATTCCAGGATCATGTAAAGAGAACTTTGCTAAATTACAAAGGAGAACATATACAGGAACTTACACTCGACATTTACCATATAGGTGATGAAGATTCTGCTGCCACCCTAGACAAATTGCTCGAAATAGCCATGGAAAAAGGTGTGAAACAACTCAAACTCCTCATCCATAGATACCATTTTATAAAAGATTCCGCTGAATATTACTACGTCCTACCTATAAGCATTCTTCGGGCTCATTCGTTGACAGATTTAGAGATTAAGGGCTGCCGGTTTCCTGCTTGTAACCAGTTGTTTAATGGAGGCAAATTTCTCGTGTTTAATAATATCAAGTCCTTGAGTCTTGCTTGTGTCTACATTGAAGACGAGAAGTTTCAATTATTACTCTCTGCTTGCCCATTAATTCATAATCTGGATGTTAAATTATGTGAGGGTCTCACCAGAATCAAGGTGGTCAATCTTCCAAGGCTCAAGAAACTAGATATGCGTCATGAAATAAGGAAGAGCCTAATTTTTGCTGTTGATGCACCAAGCCTTGAAAGTCTGAGTATATCATATTTTGGTCGAACATGGCGTGTTCTTCAACTGCCTGCATCTCAAAATTTGAGAGAACTGGTGCTTTTGAACACATATATTACAAATACATTCTTCAATGACTGGCCGAGCATATTTCCAAGGCTTGAGATTTTGGAACTCCATCACTGCCATGGCTTCCAGAATATCAATTTAAGAAGCCACTCACTAAAGCACATACGGTTTTCGTTCGCTGCAGAGTCATTGGTCGAATTAGATGCCCCAAATATCATTGACATGAAAATTAGTGTTTCAGCAGAAACCATGCAAAAGGTGTCTTTTAAAGGGGCTCTCCCACGGCAATGTGTGTCTGATTTGTGTATTATACCGTGCTATTGGTCGTCTATTGATGTCTCATGGTTTATGAAATTAAATGAGTTGCTATCAAACCTCAACCCATCAAAGATTTCACTTCACATTTGTTGTGCAAGTCCTCTTTCTGAACATGCTAGCTTCGAGGGCATTCCAACTTTTGATGCTCACCCTGTTGATATTGAACATTTGGACTTGACAGAATCTCGAGCAGATTTACCACGTTATTTAACTTTTCTTGATGGTTTGTTTTGGGCTTGTCGTCCTAAGCATTTTGTCCTGCATTGGTTGACTCCTTTGGCCTATCTTCCCGTCAAAATTTTCTTTTATAAGAAGTTCATAACCGACCAAAGAAGTCGGGTGTTCAGCAATTGGACTCATACTTTAAGCTTTTGGCAACATTATTTGAAGAAGACAGAAATTCATTTCTATGATATGACTGGAAAAAAGTGCGGTCAGCAAGATTATTTGCATTGGCAGAAAGTATCAAAGATCATATTGCATTTAGATTGGAGTGCAAGTTCAAATCTTTGGAATGCTAAAATAGCCGAGCCCTTGAAGCGAAAGAGTTCATCAGTGAAAAATTCAGGTTACAGTGGTTAGGTCTACAGAGTTGTGTACATCATTCTAGATTCTGGACTTGTGCTTAATTCGACAGTAACTACATTATCTCATTTCTTGCCTGTTACTCATTTTTACCTCTTCTATGATTATTGATCATTGGTTTAGATTTATGTTTATAGATGCAGATATGAATTTTTTCCTGCACATTTTCTTTTGTGGTTTTGTTGCCAGATGCTCTTCTATGAAGGACTAGATATGTTGTTTGCTGTTTGTTGAATTGCATTTCTCACAGTATTAGAAAGTTCATGCCATTGCTGCATACTAAAGTGGTGGTATTTATCTTGTTAATTATGCAGGCATGGCTGGCATTGCACCAGTGGGATCCCAACTTGATGCACGTGAATGTGATGCCAAAATGACTGAGTTGTAAGTTATTTCCTGCATTCCTCTCCTCTTTTACAAACAAGAACAAAATAAAAAATTCTGAGTTCCTGCCTAGTTTTTATTTTTGGATGTTCTAGGATGATACACAACTTTCCAGTCCTGCATCCCACCAAATTTTTGGTATTTGAGCCTCAGTTATCCAATAACTGTGTCATAATAATGATGTCTAGTGGTGGTGGTTGATTTTTTGTTCCATCTGCACAGGCCTAATGCTGATGGAGAGGATTTTTTAACTTCGAATGATGAGGTCTATGACAGTTTTGAGTCCATGGGTTTGCAGGAGAACCTTCTCAGGGGCATTTATGCTTATGGTAAGTAGTTGTTCTGACCTGCTGTTTGGCCTATCAATCATGTCTATGTTTGACCTGGATAATCAGTTCTAGAGCGGTTTGGTTGGATCTGTACCTTGTTCTGCTTTGATAAATATATCGTAAGTTAACTCCGAAATCTCTAGACAAAGCAATAAGGTTCTTTAGAAAGTTTTAAACCGATATAAATATAGTTTAGAATTTAATCAGCCACATACCTGATTAATACTATTAATATCCGGATATAGTGGTTCTGGTCAAAGTTGTATTCTTCTGTTGGTCCTGTTAGCTTCTAAATAACTCCCTTAGTGCAATGATTTACTCTACGGGTTTACTTGATTTCCAAAGAACACTAGGTGATAGCTCAAGTCGCTTTCTGTGTTTTCTTTTCTGTTTGAAGCCAATGCTTGTTTCCTTTTATTCATTACAACAAGTTTACACACTGCTTTCCAGTGCTCAAATATGTCTTAGGGCGCTAAGATGTATATTCCAACTTTGTCCATTCTAAGCTGACCTTAAGTGAGATATGGTGAACAGCTTTTGGTATCGTGTGCATATATGTCTTTTATTTAGCCTACAAGGTGTGAGCTTTTTATTTTGGCTAATTTGAAAGTTTTCCTCAACATGTTGACTGAAAATGCGGGATTTCTAATCCAAAGGTGTTGAAAAGCCATCTCCTGTTCAACAAAGGGGACTTGTTCCCTTCTGCAAGGGACTAGATGTCATTCAGCAGGCACAGTCTGGATCTGGAAAGACAGCAACTCTATGCTTAGGAATCCTCCAGCAGCTAGACTACAATGCGGTTGACTGTCAGGCACTTGTTCTTGTCCCCAGCCCTGAGCTTGCCAGGAAAACTGAGAGGGTTATGCATTCTCTAGGTAACTATCTTGGCGTGAAGGTTTGTGCTTGCGAGGGATGTGACCGTGTTCCTGAGGATCAGGGCAATTTTTCCCATGGGGTTCACGTTGTTGTTGGCAGTCCTGACTGTGTATTTGACATGTTGAGGAGACAGTCACTCAGGCCTGATTATGTCAAAACGGTTGTGCTGAATCAAGCTGATGAAATGATTTCCAGAGGTTTCAAGAATAAGGTTCTCTCATTTTAAAGTGGTGCAGTTTGTTTGCTTTTGCTGCAAACTTGACGTGTTCATACTTGTCCTTTTGAAACATTTATTATCTTGTATCTATATTGGAAAATTTACCTCTTTTACAAACTTTTTAGCCCGTGCCAAAGTTATGCGTACATAATAATTGAGGACCAATGTCCTGCTTTATTGTGAAAAGCTTTCATTTCTGTTGTCTTATATTTGTCTGATGGCATTAGTTTCTTTGTTTCAGATTTATGATATTTTCCAGCTTTTGGCACCCAAGATTCAGGTTGGTGTATTCTTAGCTACAATGCCCCCTGAGGCCTTGGAAATCACAAGGAAGTTAATGAATAAACCTGTAAGGATTCTGGTGAAGCTTGGCGAGTTCACTCCTGAAAGGGAGGAAATGAAGCTTGAAACACTGTCTGGTCTTTCCCAGACTGATGAAGCAGCTATGTGCTGGTTGGATAAGCGTTGCCGTCTTTGGAAGCCTAAGAATATTATTACAAAGGGGAAACTTGTAAACAAGAAAATTCTGGATTAATGGGAGCTGTTTATGGTGCCACCAAAGGTCTTTAAGATGGTTCAAGAACTGTGGGAATTTCATCTGAATTTTAGTACTTTCAGCATTTGGGTATTTGGTCTTTATCATTAAGTAATTGTACTTTCAGCATTTCTTGTTGCAGGAAAGTTCTTTGTTTTTGTACACATTGGGGAACCGAAAGGCGGACTGCAAATTTGATTTGTTCAAATATGGATTAAAAAAGAAAGCAAAATTTGATTTGTATGAAGTGTTTAAGCATACTTCTCAGTCGGTTGCAAGAAAGCTAGGACTCCAGCCATCAGGGATAAGTTCTGCTTTTGATTTTTCACCTACAGTACAGACCCCCCTGCTAAATGTGATGGGTATAAGTGTTCAGGCCTTCTGTTCACAGTGCTTAATATCATCACACCTAAAAGGAGTAATAGCTACTGTTATGTTGCTTAGAAATGTCATCATGAGTTAGTCTGCAAGAAAATCACATGTCAAACTGGGAAGAAAAAAATCCCATGATGAAAAAGCAACTGTATTAGTTATCACATAGCAAAAACAAGCTTCCATTCTCCCAGTACACATCAAAAGACAGAGAGACCAATCTTGTTAGGACCTCAGAAGTGTAATGTATACAGCCTCAGATTAACTAGAAACTCTACACCACAACATGGAAGCAGCTTCATGAAGTAAAACTATGTTTCAATTGTATATGACATCAAATGTCTACTTTCATAATGAATAGAGCATCTATACCTAGTTTTCATAATGATGAGAACTACCAACCAAAATTCCAATAGTGTAAACATCTCCGGTCAATGAGAGACCTAACCATGAATTGTTAACTATGTTTCAAGCAACCAAAAGAAGCAAGAAAACCAGTCAAACACAAAATGCCTAGCATAATTCCAAGAACATAAATTTCTAACCAACTTGTTTGTTACTTTATCTGAAGAGCTGTGAACGGACATGTTTTAAAATGTAAGTTTGTAACTTAGATGCTTTTCCTTCCACTGAGAAAGCTACTTTGAGCCATTGGTCAAATTGTAAAGCCCAAGAATCAACAGAACTAGATTCATGGAGAGACCTTAAGTTGTGAGTGGCAGATCCAGAACAAACTATGAGGTAACCCCCATCCTTCAGAGGTGCCAATGCACTTCCCCTGTCATAAGTGGGTAAGTCTTGTCCCCACTTGATTGGACGTGTGTCTCAGTCTCTGGGTACATAAGCATGAGGGGAGTCCATGCTCCATGATCTAAATTTCACTTATTCTCATATTCTTGATTAAAACCTGTCTTTGAGCAGTTCCTTCACTCTCTTAGCCAATTCTGGAGCACGAGGAGCAGGATACCTGAGCTGGAATTTAGGAATGAAGAGGATTTAAGAAAATTTTTTAGGCATACAAGCATCTGATATAAATCTTCAAATTTCAATTTTGAGTTGTATTGATGACACCAGGAATTCCAGCCCACATGATCAAAGAATGTTGTAGAACTGTTACCTGTTACATCCAATCAGGAGCGCATCTGCGGGATGTAGAAAGGACTTCCACTCACTACTACTACTGGCTTCCTATACTAGCTAGTGCAAGTTTCCCCCACCCATCTCCATTATTTTGTACGAGGAGTGATATAAACACTACTGGACCATTCTTGAGAAGCTTACATGATGAAATAAAAAAGTATACCAATGCCATCCCCAAAAAAGATTTGCTACATTGCAGGATGTCTCTAGTTTGAAGAAGTGAGAAAAGTTTATACTTATCATCAAGTTCCTAGGCAGGGTTTCTAAACTAAATTTTATTTTTTGTATTTCTTATAAGCAGATACCATCACGCCATTAAAAAAAAAAGGCTTCTAAATTAGTCTAACTTCGAAACATTTTGCCTGGGAAGTATGGGTCAGAGGTAAGCTGTTGAGTATTCTTTTCAACTTGTGAGGCGGTGCAACTGTTCAAAGGTGGTCTGTTCTCATGCAAAAGTACCCAGAAATTCATAGGGATTATAAACTTAAAAATAGTCTACAGCTTTGAGGTCATCACAATATGTATGTATGTTTTGCCAACGTAATAAAATTTCCCCGTGTACTCTTCAGCATAAGCAAATCCAAAAAATGCACCAAGTTGGAATGTGTTTCCCCATGCACTCTTTAACGTTCATAAATCTTTATTAAACATAAAAAAATTTGGCCAAAAGTCATTAGCTGCACAAATTGTGATTGAGGGGACACCAGAGAATAAAAAAAAAAAAAAACAAACTGCTTGCATTCCAAGAGTGAACTAAAGCAATGCCTTTCCTACGGTCAAGGGAAATTTGAATTATCAGATAACTAGACATGTGCTTCACCTCCTCTAGTACTAGATCAATTGCAGATAATCGTAATCACAGATTGGCACGAGCTTGTTTAGGGGCATTAAATATGAAAAAACAACTAGAAATGAGAGTTGTGGCAAATCATGATGAGTGATTCTTACATTACTTTTTTGCTGAATCAGTTTTCCACTATAATGCATTTGAATCTCAGACAAAGACCAAAAAATTGCTATTTCTGTGTATACCAATGAAGGAACAAAAAAGTTATGAAAGAGCCTCATCAATTTTTGCAGACTATACAGTTATCGCAAGTATCAACTCCATGATTTTGTGCTATAGTCAGGAAGCACATGCAGATTCTGAGGTTTGTCAATGGAAAAGAGATGCACTTAGAAAAATTTACAGAAATGTCAGACATTAGAAAATTCAGCTTAAGATGTGCAGTCAATGGGTTCCTTTTTGTTTTCTTTTCTCTTGTAAACTTCCTGATTTTGGCTCAGAGACATCATATCATCATTATATAAACCAACACGCAAAGAAACTGCAGTTTCTGTCAATTTCCTATCAAATTTCTAGGTTAACATTTTGACAGAGTAGAACAAGTGTGGTTCTCCGACTGGAAGTCCAAGTAATTACATCATCTAGGATACATGACTTATTCTTCGAGAAACTTACTCAAATAACTTGGTAATCATGTTTAGGTTTTTGAAGCTTGCATGTACATGTGAACCATAAAAGTTTAAATCCCTGATTCTTGAAAAGAAGGTAATTTCTTCAATAACCAAGCCAAATGCAAAAACTGAAAATACAAAAGGGCTACACTCTTTTCAGCAAGCTCAATTCTTTTGCACTTCACAACTGGTTGCAGTAAAGATAGAATACACCAAGATGCTTACTGCTATGCTACCACGAAACAAAACTAATGCATCTGGCTCAAAATTGATTCTGTGTGGATTAGCCTAACATCTTCCCAAACTAGTCAAAGTTCCTATGGAAGCGATGTGGTCCAACAAAAGTGCCTCTCAAATGCTATGCACAATCCAAGAAAGTCCTTCAAACAAGTAGTGGAAGCTGTAGAAAAACAGGTAAACAAGTACCAAGGAATCTCAAGGAATCAGGAGAGAAATCATTAATGGGAAAAAAGATATCACCAATGGGCTGGTTCTGAAAAACTAAGAAATTAATTTTGATGCCAAAAAGGGACAAAAGACAATTGTGAAAAGAAAATAACCAAGACGCTCTCTGACACCATGTGAATTTTTGCCTAATCCGTACTGCCACTGAAAGAGAACCCTTTGTATACCAGAGATAAGAAGTTGTGACAATAAATTTGGCGTTTCTACTGATGCACCTGAGACTACGTAGAACTTACATATTAGTAGTTGCCCAACTCAGGATAGCTCGAGTGGTTTTGTTGCCCCTCTTTAGGATATAGCGACCACGGTTCGAATCTCGGGGAGATCGTGTTCGAGAGAAATGGATCTCTCCTCTCGGGCCACAGGGAGATTACTTGGGCCGAAGGCCCGGGCACTCCCTGCGTACATATTAGTAGTTGGTTTTGTGACTGATAATAGGGTATATATATATAAACTACACCGCAACTTCCACATCTCTCTTGAAAACAAGAAAAGCTTTCATTCACGATTGAGATGACAAACGAGTAGTGTATCAATGGCTAGAATTACAAAATTTAGACTGGTAGAAAGTGTAATCCATCTTACTTCATATAATCATTTCACACACATTATTAGATTAATGTGACATCTAAACCATTAAGAAGTTCATGTTTCTCAGCGGTTCCACCATCTGTCTAAACAAAATAATTTTTAATAGAAGCAAAGTTTATTATTCCATCAATTCCATCTGTATAGCCACAAGAAGGTTTCAAGAATGAGTGGGCTGAAGTTCTTTCCCACGACAATGTATGGTAACTGGTCAATGTATCATGTGGTGGGTCAAGTCAGAGAAAAATACATTAAATAACGGCTAGACAACTAGAATGAAATTTATTATACTTAAAAACATAGCGACTCTACTAAAACTCCAAAAATCGTGCATGACAGCAGGAAGAAAATAAAAATAATATTGATTTGCTTCTTCAAACAATTTTCTGACAAAATATAGGTTTGGCAATTGAGCAATTTTCTATAAACTTGATGGCCAGTTTCACGCAGCCTTTGGAAATATAAAATTCAATGGGCCATCTTTTGGGCAATGCAATTGGTTTGGTTTTGGCAACTGCCAAGCCATTGAGGTTCGAGACTAATTGCAGCAATTTAATTGTGATGACATGGGGAATAATCCTGTGCATTGCACTTTACCGTAGATCGCATGTAATACGTGAATGGTGTAGACTTCTTATGATCTTGGATCACACATATTAATCTAGACTCTAATTGTTCGCCACCAAATTGGCAAATGAATTGGCTTTTCTTTTATATATAAAAAAAAAATCAAGTACTTCAAGTCTCAATTACCATCCTTGACAAGCAAGTCCCAATTGAACCTTGAAGTGGGGGCATTTGTAGATAAAGAAATTTTATTTAATTTATTTAGTCAAGATTTATTCAAATTAAATTGATCTTGATTAAATTAAATTAAATTATAGAAGTCCATCATGTTTTGGATTGACAAATTGGACCAATATTATATGGGCTATTAAATCAAATTAAATTTGTAATGTCCATTTAAATTGGAGTGAATTAATTGATTTATTAATTCACTGAGGTTCGAGACTAATTGCAGCAATTTCATTGTGATAACATGGGGAATAATCTTGTGCATTGCACTTTGCCGTAGATCGCATGTAATACGTGAATGGTGTAAACTTCTTAT